AGGAGGGGGTGGGTGAAAGAAAGCATCCCACACCGTGGGGACCGCGCTGGTCGTTGGTGTGAAGAGCTCGTACGAATACATACGACACCAGGCGGTGTAGAAATCGGAATCAGACGTTGTGGAAGTCCTCGAATCTCCGGCAACTTTGTGAACCGGTGGCTCCCGACCACCAAGGGAAGGTGTAGGCATCTGCTGAGAAGTTGCCCAAGCAACCAAAGAAGCAACACTAGGCTACCCCTGAGTCCCAGCTCGAGCCCTAGCCCGTTCAGGACTCTAGGATACTCTAAAGTGCTTGAAGTTGCGCTAGACCTCTTCTAGGAGAGGTCTGTGGCGAGGTTGGCCGGTAGATTCACGAGTGAAGCTTCCAGGAGGCGGCTCAGGCTTGGGGTTCAACGATGTGCAGCTCGCATGGGGAGTTGATGTTTTGCCATCTATCGGTGACCTGAGGACCTGTCCCCGATACCACACCGGCAAAAACCTGAGCTTTCAGCCACGAGGGCCACACGCCTATGCCCTGACTCCTCCTATATACCCCCCCCCCCCCAGGCCTGAACGCCTGAACCCAGCAAGCCTAAACTTCAGCTCCTAAAGCCCTAAATCCGGAACTTCAACTCCTAAAACCCTAGATCCGGAGCTTCAACTCCTAAAGCCCTAGACCTCTGAGCCTCTGAAGACAAAGTCCAATGCTGAGCTCCTAAACTGAATTCAACAAAAAAGGCCCAGGGATCTATATACTACGGTTGATGATATTAATCCTGCAGTACCCATAAAAAAGGGAATATACCCTAATTCCCACAGTTTAGGGTCCTGAAGGTAATGCAAGGTTTATATCATCAACAGTATGAACAAACACATACATACATATATATATATACACACACACTCCAAAACACCGCGACTCTTATTGGCGTAAGATGGGCTAAGAAACGAAGACCCCTGTAACCCGAAAACACCCAAACCTTCATTGTGGAAGAATCGGAACCCATGCAATCCTGAAACGCCCAATTCGTGATGAACATCTGAATCTTATGACTGATAGCCCTGAAACCGTCCTAAAAAGTTGCAACCCGGAAACCCTACATCGTCCTAAAACGTTCTTATTGAAATTGAAACATCCCCAAACCCTTGTAACCCCCAGAAACCTGAACACCTCCAACCTAAAGCCCCTCAGCCTCGTAGCGCGGCGTCAGTGCTGCCAGCGTCGGCTGCAGCAGGACCAAGGCCTCGTAAGGAACAGGGACTGCAAGACTAAGACTGTTGCTGCCAAGGGGGTCGGAAAGTCCTCTCCGCGTGCATCTCCGCATGAGCTGCTAGAGCCTCCTAATGCAGCGTCTCTTTTTTTAACTCCCGCGCTTTCTCGTCATCCGGCCATTGGGCTGCCGGGCATATCTCCAGGCAAACGAATCTTGAAGGCTTCTGCACCCTGGGAGATGCGATGCCGACGGCCAAGGAGCGACGGCAATGACTGCGGTGGCAGAGGCGGCGCAGGGGGCAAGCATCTCCTTTCTGTTTGCACGCATGCCCTGGTCCCACGTCGTAGCCGCAGGAAGATCCAACAAAGGATCGGACACAGAATGTGCTTGACTCCGCGTCTGCAGCGCAGAGTAGCCGTCGGGCGCACCGGCAGGCGTTGCACCGGTGATGAAATCCAATGCACTCACTACGGACTTGTATACTCCAAGCATCCAGAGCGTGCTCTCCATCTTCGGCTCAGGTCCAGACCTTCCGGTGCCGCTGTGGAGATGAGCCGAAGATCGAAAGCACGGATTGGATGATCGGAGCATCACTCCGTCATGAACGCATTTGAAATCAAATGCCTTCACGACGGAGTGGTATATGCTCCGATCATCCAAAGCGTGCTTTCGATCTTCGGCTCATCTCCACAGTTGCAACGGAAGGTCTGGTCCTTTTCAGTTTCTCCAGGCAGTTCACGCAAACGGCTCTGGAGCACGTCCTTGGAGGGAAAAGCGAACCAGACTCTTCTGGGGTCAGCCTCATAACCTGCCAGGAAATTCAAAGCACAACGACTAACGGCCCTGACGCTGACCAAGCTTCGGGCAATGATGCTCAAAGAAGGATCCCCAGGGACTGCTTGCAGCGGCTGCAAGTTTCTGGTGCTGACTGATGGGAACCTGGGTTCCGCAGCATCTCCTTGCTCTACTAAGTAAGGGTGCACTTCTTGGGAATATATACACTCAGCTTTAACGAGAGGACCTCCAAAAGACACAGGGCAAAAGGATACTGCTGGGGTACCTAGCAGCAGCTGCTGAACAGTCCGCACCATTGAGATGAGCAGTGCTCCAGGCAATGTTCGCTGACGTGGCTTCGGCAGCGGTCCGGTGCAATTTGAGCCATGGCCAGTGTAGGATTCAAGATCTTTCTGAACAAGCTTACGGCTGGCGGGCGTTGAACTCTTCCAGTGAAGGTCTGTCGCTTCTTTGCACGGTTCCGGCAGGCCTTTCCTATCCTGGCATAGGGCCTTCTGGTAGCTAACTGTCATCTAAGTGCCTGGACCTACACGGAAAGCGGAAAGCGTCCCTGTGCGATACACCCTGAACCCAAGCCGGTTTCAGCCTGGCAGGAGCGCAGCCCGGCTTCCCAAGCGAGGTCATCCTGGAGGACGGTAGGTGAAGCGCGAAAGGAATCAGGGTGTCTACGGCTGCCAAGCTTTAGACTTTGACGAAGGCCTTCTGGCAGGGTCGAGCGGTCTATAGTGCTTCATACATGATGCTCTTTACGTTGATACAAAAAAGGCTGGAATGACTGGTCACTGCTGGAGGGCCCATCTCGAAACCCAAGCAGCCCCAAGCCTACACCCTGAAAACTCACTCTTCGGCACCCCTCTGCGCCGCAACTCCTAAAGCGAAGGTCGGCGGCAGAATCCTGGACTCACCGGCCGATGGCAACCAGATGCTGCAGAAGGCAGAGGAGGAGCTGCCTCTGCAGGCTGCAGGTCGGGCTGCTACGGCTTTTTCTAGGGCCTAGAAGGCTTATAGGGTTTAGGGTCTATAGAAGCCCTATAAAGCCCTTAGCCTTAGACTTGTAATAACCCTTAAACCCCCTAAACTCTCAAAACCTAAACCCTAAACCCTAAAAAGCTTTAGGTAGACACTTTATAATCAACCTTAAAGACTTCCTAAGAACCAGAGAGGCTCCCCCTGAACCCGGTCTCCAATCCCAAGGGCTCATGACCCCAAACCCCACGGTTTTAGGCTCCCTTAAAGGGATCTTTAAGGGTTTCTACAGGGCTTCTCTAAGAAGGGCTTCCCTATAGGGCTTCTATAAGGGCATTACAAGGGTTTCTACTTGGGTAGTTCTCTAAAGTCGGGCCCCCTTTTAGGGTCCTTTTGTCTTTCAGGGTCCCGTGCAGTAATGGGGACCTAACGTAAAGATAGAGAACTACACAGTTGCATACAGAAACCTTGCAGGTGGTGGGTTTTGCACCAAGTCCAGGATTTGGCTGGTTTAGTGTTTGGGCACCTACCTTCCACGCGAGTGAACTTGATCAGCCCTACTCTCAGCAAGCGCTTCTCCGGCCAACATGCGCGTTGTAGGGCTGTTCATTCCCTGAAGCCGGCCTCCGGAAGGACAAACCACCCGAGACCCCAAAATGAAACCCTAAACTCTAAATCTGAATTACCCCAAACCCGAAAACCTAAACCCTGCAAACCCTCAACCCTGGAACCGAACTCCGGAGCCCTAAAGCCCCAAAACGATAAAGGCCAAGCCTGCAAGCTGCTCGAACTCCCCCTATGAGGCTTGGAAGTCTTGTCAAGTATACCCGAACCTGAAAGCCTGAACCCCAAATTCAAAATCAGGTCAACCGAACTTCATACTAGAACCCCAGAATCCTAGAAAGGCCCGTAAGGGTTCACAAGGCGGATGGCCTCTCGGCGTGAGCACCGCGCGGGTGGTGGGCAGCAACGGCTGGAAGCTTCTCATCCACGCTGAATGAAGTCTCCTGCCCACAAGATTTCATACATGAACTGGGAAAAGGGATGCAGCTGCAAACTGTCATGATGCTATACGACATGATGCAGAACTCCACATTGTTCAGCGGCTGAACGCTTGAAATCCTAGAGAAACCCTACACCATCGACAACGATGGGCGGTTCTTGGTTGCTGACGTTTCTGGCCCGGAAAAAGTGAAAACCTTGCACTACGGTAGGATTCTACAGACACCGGCAAGCTGACAATCACCTATACTTGCCGATGTTCGGATGGTCTTTCTGGCATGACTCTATGCAATGCAAAGTCGGCCATGCTTCAGAAGATAAAAAGCTAAACCCAGAGTAGCCAATGCACCTGTTAAAAGGTACATTTACCTTTTCGAAAGGTACCTTGGTAACTCTAGGTAGCACCTGGCCCATGAATTTATGTGTGAAATATTGCATCGTGCCTCCCACACGGCTTACCACCTCGTGCAGCACACCGTGGAAGCTTGTACCATCTAACAAAAATCCAGAGATCCAAAGACAGCCCTCTCAAAACCCACATCCTAGACTTTGTATCACGAGGTACAAGAACCATCGGGTTTTGTATAATGAGGTACAAGCCCCATCCGGTTTAGGGTTTAGGGCTTTTAGGTTTTATAGGGTTTACCCACACTTCGAATTCTAGCAGCCAGTAATCCCTTCCCCCTTTAGACCCACATCCGAATGAGGGCTCGATTTGGGGGTGCATGTAAGCGTTAGAGAGGGTTGCATGTTTAGGGCTACCAGCTCTGGGTTTCTGGTTTAGGACACCATAAGGCCACCATCGTAGGGTTTAGGGTTTAGGTTTTAGGGTTCAAATTCAAGGCACCATGGGGTTTGGGGTCTAGGATGGGATTGTGTTTTCTATGCTTTTGAAATCCAACATCTGCAGGGCTGGACCTGCATTCCTTGCAGCCGCCCTCTGGCATTGCAGCTGCCTGGCTCAAGTCTGTTGGCTGTCACCCTGCATCCTACACCTATACAAACTCTAAACACTCTCAGGCCCTAGACCCTAAACACCCTAACCTCTTGTTGCACCCCGACACTTCTAAACCTCGTAATGTGCAACGATAACCAGGGTTTGGGCTTGAAGACATCCACAACCACCAGGCAACACCTCTAACTCTACAAACGAAGTGCAGCACCTCCGTTGACTATCCTACCCTAAAACCTGAGCCCCAAACCCCAAATCCTACCTCCCCCCCCCCCCAACTACCCTGTAGTATACCCTAATTACTCTCTATGCCGAAGGGGCTCCCGTAACGGACCCTTGGAACGGACCCTTGGGGAAGTTCTTGCAACCCTACGTACGCGAATCCTGGCCTCCATCCACCAGGACTGCAGCCCAGGCTGGCAAAAAGGAGGCAATCAGCTCCTTCGTTGCAAAGGCACAATAGTGGGCGGGGGCTTAGGCTTATTCATTTCGTGTTATTGAAGCAGCTACTCGGTAGTTGCCAATAGGAGTCGCAAGCCTCATGTGGGGGCCTCAATTAATAAGTATAGGGCTTTGGTGCCTGTGATGGCATAGCTGTCTGTTCACTATGATGGACACGACGATAATCTGTTATTTCCCGACCCCTTCGTTGAACAGCGACACGGTGTCCCAAAGCAGCAGCTCCCAAATCGCTGTGCCCCAAACCCCGTGGGCCCAGGAAGTCCTTTATGCTGTTGCCCTTGAGCACGTACTTCCTGCAACTCACACCATGGCAAGCCCTCAAAACCCAAACCTCAACGCAACAACTCCCAACCCACAAACCCCCCCAAGCCCCCGAACATTCAAACAAGCAAAAACCTTCAAGACCCCAAAGCCTATAAAGCCCTGAATCGAAACCATGAACCCCAAAACACGAAGCTCTCCTCTTGGGCATCGCTTTGCCCGAAACCCCGTGGTGAGAGCCCCTGCACCTGCTGAAGGTGGAAAGAATTCTTAAGGAGAGACCAGATAGGACCCTAAGTTTCCGGTTATTTGGGCTAACCGTTTGGGTGTCTTTCTTGGAGGTTAAAGTTTAGGTGTGTAGACTTATGAGTTCGAGGCTTTAGGCTTGCAGCTTGAGCTTAAAACGTAGCTTGAGGTGTCCTCGTATGGTTGCGAGCTTAAGCTTTGGGGTGCAGCTCTTTGGAGGTTTATGGGCTTACGGTCATGTCCAGAGCATTCCATTCAGGGTCGATGTCGGCGCTTTAGGTTTGCGTTTTGATTACACAGGCCGTGGCCCAGAACCCCTGTACCAGAAAGTTACCCACTCTTCCTGCACTACGAGCGAGCATACCTTGAGAATCTAACTGCTGCGCCACGCACCACCCTAAACCCTAAACCCTCAACCGTTCACCCGTCTGGGGTTTCGGGTCTGAGGGATGGGGGTTGGGTGTCGGTCCCGACACGGCAAGCCAGACGCGCAAAGCCCAAACAAACTAAACCCCCAAGCCCTAAACCCACAAACCCTAAACCCCTAAACCCTGAATCCCTAAACCCTGAATCCCTAAACCCCTAAATCTCAAACCTGGGCGCCTGATAGTTCAGCCTTCGTGCCGCCAGCACAGCAGGGCCTTCTTGCAATCTTTGGAGCGCAAGCAGCGAGGGTTTCGGGTTTGGGTCTCCCAAAAATCAGGGGGTCGCTGTGGGATGGCTCTGGGGATTGTGGGAAAGTTTGGGGCACCTTGGGTTTAGGATGAAGGCTTCGAGTGCAGTATACCGCAATCCCGAAACGATGGAACCTTCGGAGCGTCGGCATAAGTTTGCGGGTTTGGCAAGGGTCAGATATATGGTTTCATGTGAAATCTGTGAGGGAATATGTACTTCATTTGAAAGAAGAAGAAGAACCACGAGCACCTGCATTTCAATGCCTCAGATCCGACGGCCTAAAGCCTCGTTCCTGCACCCGCCTCTCTAAACCTTATAATGATATGGGAGCTCATCGAAACTCCTGCGCGTGGCCTCTTTTTGACAATTGACCCTGCACTTTCTCGTCATCGGGACATCGGGCTGCAGGACATTTCGCCCGGCAGATGTGTCTTGAAGACGTCCGCGACTTGGGAGACACGACGCCGATGGCCTAACAGGGATGGCAATGACTGCGGTGCCGGCAGAGGTGCAGAGGGA